TGCACGTAACAGCACTTGACACACACACGATCCTTTAAGGCTGCAACTACATGAGAACACAGAAGCAGAACACCACTCCTAAATTAAAAGGGAAATGAAGAACTTCTTTCCGTGGCAAACCCAAACTTTGGCCAGAGTTTTGCTAACAAATGGGTAATCATTAAATGGTGAAATCTCTCAAGACTGTAAGTGATCTGTACACCAGCAATTCCATGTGACACAGTGCAAACATTCCCTCTTCTGAGCATTACATTGGCTCCTTTGTATAGCAGGTTAGTATCTAGTTCATCTCTTCATTTCTTACTCCAAGATTTTCTCAGAATAAAAATCTGCAACTTCTAAATATCCAAGAATAAAAGACCCTTCCTTTTTACATGCAATTATTTTAGAATACTACACACAAAGCTTAAATAGAAAAAAAAAAGTCAAACTAAACTTCCGAGGTGCCTTGTTTTTCTTTTTTGAGGTTGGGGTGGGTTGTTTGTTTTATTTTAAGTAACTTTTCTAAGAGAGGAAGAAGCAAGAATGAGTTAGGATTTTATGCAAAGAGGAAGCACAGGCTTGTGACAGTAAAAAAGGGCAATCGTGTTTACAGTAAAAAGTTTAAAATTGCACAATAAAATGGTGATGTCAGTGCCATAATAAAGCAATTATCTATCTTCATTGTTTCTTTACATTTTTCTACAAAAAGCATTTATAGAACAGTAACAATCTGAAAATCCCAATACCATACTTTAGTATTGGTCAGTCCCATTTTACCACAAACTTTTAAGTATTTCTATTTTAAAATTTGTGTCTGAGAGTTTGTCACTCTGCTCTCCAAAACTGATATGACATTAACAACTCTTCTCCATATCACTGGAACAAGCAGGAAGCCATAGTAAATAGGTTTAATTATTTCAGTAGCTTAAGCTTGATCCTACAAAGACATTTTTTAACTTCCTCCTTCAAACGCCACAGTATATCAAACTGGTAATAAAGAGCACAGCATCAGCTCTCCCCACTGATATGTGTTCATTATACTGTTTATTATTTTCCTTAATGATAGCAGATATTTTCAGTTATTTAAAAATTGTATCTAGGTGTAAGATACACAAAACCCCTTACTGACAAGGCCTCCAGCCCACATGAATGAATTACTCTAGCCATAGAAGATTATTCAAATCCAGTAACCCTACAAAACAGCACTCATCACCAAAACTTAAACTGCTGTCTAAACAAAAGAACAGAATTGACAGGGTTATAACATGCTACAGGACATCTGGTCAGAGTAGAACTCTGTAAATGACTAAGGGAATTAGGTGCTTTCACTGTCACTGAGCACATACTATCTGTAAACCCATTTGAAAGTGTACAACTTATTGTTTATTGAAGTAAACTTTAAAGGCAGTTGCATTCAAAGCAACCTGCTAGAGCATTTATTGCATTAACTGATTCATTAATAGAAGAGTTAAAGAGATTATTCAATTTTATAGAGATTTCATCTATGTAGAAAAATATTATACTTACTGCTAAAATATCTGCCTCCACAGGTAAAAGATTCAGGAAGGCAAATAACTGCACAGTCACAATAGTGTATATCTGAGTGGCAGACAACATCAGCATTCCTATTGACAACAGCATATTTTATTCAATACCTGCAAGAAAAGAATCAGAGTCAAGGCACATAGCAAATACTTTCCTGTGTCATTTTACAGGACTCTTGGTCACCTAAAATTTTTCTGCTAAGGAAGTATGCAAAAGGTTATTCAGTGTATACCTCTGAGAAAGAAGATTATTATATATACAGTTATATGATTATTTTACAAGTTCCTTTTGCTAGAACTATGTCCCTCCATGGGAGAAACAGCAAGCACAAACTATAAAAATTATAAGAGCAAGACTTCAAATGGCTTTAGGCACCACAAAGCAATGCAAGGGGTACAAAGGGATAATCATTCACATTATATGAATCATTCTCAGACATTTCATTTTAAACTTCCCTTCTTCTAGCCAAATCCAAATCTTCCAGTATCAAAAAAAGAAATTACTGGAAATTACATAAAATAGTCACAATACAAAATAATAGAAATGGGTCCATTTCTGGGTCCAACACAGCTATAAGAATTAAAATAATTAACAAACAAGTTTTAAAAGTGGACAGTACGGACTTTATAGAATTATCTGAACATCTGGACCTCCTCTAACTTCTTTTACTAGAGTAATTAAAAGTACTTCACAAAAAACTCAATTAGGTCATCCAAAATGCTTATGGAAGCAATTTTTTGTCAGAAACCTCCAAACTGTGGCTTCTTATATAAATGGTTTCATGTGAATTTGTTTTAATTTGACTGCAGATATTTCTTCTGAAAACCGTCTGTTGATTTAACTGGGAAATCACAGCCAACATTACTACTTTCTTTTTCAGAATCAAGAAACACCTAAGAATTCCTGTCCTTCTGACCTATCCTTCATGGGTTTTTCAAGCAAGAACATTGTCCCATGATGTGAGATTCTCAATGTTAATTAAAGCAAATACCAGAGAGATAGACTTGATTTAAGCTAACATGAAGATAATTAGAATTGATTAGTACTATTTGGAGAAAACAGCTGATACTTTCAAAAATATGATTCTATCTTGGTTAGAATCGGACACATAACGATTTATGAAACTTTCAGCTGATTCACAGAAATGAAGTTATACTCACAGGACAAAAATTGTAGTGAGTTACAAAACGAATGAACTCCTATTACTAAATTAAGATTTATCACCTTCTCTCTCATCAGCCTGCCCTAAAAAAGAGGACATCAGTGAAACTGGAAAGATAAAAGAATCATTGTTTCAAAAATACAGCCATTTTTACTATGACAGAAACAACTACACTTGAAGCTATCACAGCACTTTAACCAACACAGTAAATTCAGCACAGAGAAAAGCACTAAAAGAGTATTTATCAAGCAAGGTAAGAAAACACAAGGATTAAAGTGGTCCTTGCAAACAAATTGCATATACAGTGCACTCTTCCCTGTCAAAGTTACATACAAACAAATTCTTCTGTGCTCAGGATCTGATGCCACAAATGCAAGTCAAAAAGCCTTTACAATTCCTGAAATTGCACGGCTCTCAGCTGAGGGAGGCAGCTCAGCACACAGAAAGGCAGGTGTGTGGAGAAGGGCTACACTGTAAACCAAACCAAACAAGTTCAACCTGACTGCAGTAAGCTTCCACACTTCAGACTCGATTTACCAGTGTGTACAGACAAAGTCGTCCTAAAATACCTTCGAGCATTTCTTCCCACTCTCTGTGCTGGAACTCACAAACCCAACCGTGCCTGAGGAGCATCCCTGTGTGATGGGACTGTACAGGACAGAAATGAGGCGGGGAAAATGCGGGGTGTGCTGGACCAGCACAGTTATGAGCAGCAAGATACCCCTGGAGTAAACACACCAAGCACATTCAAGACAGGGGTCACAAAGGCAGTACACAGCTCGAGACATAGAAAAGAACTTTAACAGCTTTTAGCAAATATTCACAGATGAGGCTTCACGAACTACACCTAAATATGAAATTTTCAGGTATTTGTACCTCAATCAACTCAAAATGTGTTTCAGAGCATAATACAACACAAAGCAATTCCATGTTCACATGGTTATGTTTACATTTTAACTCACTCAATAAAATAGATTTTCCTCCCACTTCTGAAAAAAACCAACTTGGATATCTGTATTAAACAAACTTAAATTCTATTACTTTAAAGCCGTATGAGATTATAAATCTTACGGCAATCACTAAAAAAATATGAACATACAGAAACTTTGTGACAAATTCCAAATATTTTGGTAGACTGGGCTGCCCCTTCCAAAATTTCATAAGCAGAGCTAATAATAATAATTCTCGTTCACATCCTCTAATCTCCCCATATCTGAATTCTTGCATTTTGATACCATCGTCTCATTACTAACACACATCTCTATCTCAGACTTACTACAAAACTGGACACTGACGCACGGGAAGTAAGATCAGCATTCACACCTGTTAAGATGCAGCAACAATTCCTCTCAATTAATTTTAACGTTTTCACTAAGAACTTGCTTTTCAGCCAGTCAGACTCCACGCTACTCATTATCCTGGAAGCCCAAGCAGCCCCTCGGAGCACAGCCAGCCTCAAGAACCACACACCCGGCAGAGACGAAACGCGCGACCAGGGCTCGAGCTTCCACCGGGCCAGGAGCGACGCTCGGGGAGCGCTCCAGAGGCCTCGGCTCCGCTTTCCTCAGCCCTAGCCGGGCCTAAGCCGCCCACGGAACCGGGCCCCGCCTCGCCACTTCAAGGGTGGAGGCGAATAATCACTGCGCAATGGAGCGCCAGGCCCCTACGTGCTCGGCCACCGCACGGCCGGAGCGCCCAGGAAGCGCAGCGACCGCGCCCCAGTGCTCACCTGCGGCCCGGGGAAGCCGCCCCGCGCTCACCTGCGGCCCGCGGCCCCGCGGTCCCGGGCGACCTAGGCCGACGCCATGGCGCGTTCCGTGCGATCGGCGCCCGCGCCGGAAGTCCCGCCTGCCGCCGCGCGGCCGCGGGCGGTGGCCCGGGACAGCCCATTGGCCACGTGGGCTGTCACTCAGAGGCGGAGGGGCGGGCCCAGCTTCCCGGGGGCGTGGCCATGCAGCGGCTCCCGCCCCACCGCCAGGGGGCGCGCGCCACCCGTGGGACCAAAGCGGAGCCTCCGGGAGCGTCTCACACATTTGGGACACAGGGGGAACGGCTGGGAGACATCTGGGGCACGGCTGGGGAACGGCTGGGNACGGCTGGGGAACGGCTGGGAGACATCTAGGGCACGGCTGGGGAACGGCTGGGGAACGGCTGGGAGACATCTAGGGCACGACTGGGGAACGGCTGGGGTACATCTTGGGGCACGGCTGGGGAACGGCTGGAGCACATCTGGGGCACATCTGGGGAACGGCTGGGACACATGTGGGGCGCAGGTCCTGCGAGGGCAGGAGGCAGTGCGTGTCCGTAATTCCTCGGATGTACGGACGTGCGTGTGGAGCTCCTATGGCTGGAGGATGTCTTGTCCTAAACAGCAAAACCAAACTCTCGGTCGAGAGAGGAGGACACAACCTGACAGTAAGGACTCCCACCGGCTTCACAGCAATCGTGCGTTTTCCCCAGCCGCAACATTGCAAATATTTCCGTGTAAAAACATCGATGGCAAGTTATAATTTCGTACATTGGAGAAAAGCCCGCTGCCCCAGGCTGCCTCCGGGAGCGCCCGCAGTCCCGGCCCGCGCAGGCGCCTGTGGGCGCCGCCCCTTCCCGGGCGGTGGCGGCGGCTCGGCGGCGATGCTGCTGGTGCTGTCGGCGGAGCACCGGGAGCACCTGGGCTGCGTGCCGCGGGCCGGCGGCGCAGGTCGGGGCCGGGCCGGGTCGGCGGGCGGGGGGAGCCGAGCCGGGCCGGGCCGGGCCGGGGCTGCAGCCGGGCCTGTTCTCTCTCTGTCCTTACAGCCCTTGGCGAGCTGGGGCGCCTGGCGCTGGAGCAGCTGCGGCGGGGAGCGGCACCGCGGGCCTGCGAGACCGCCGCCAGTGAGAGCCAGGCCGGGGAGCGGGGGGGACCGGGCGGGGGAGCGGGGAAACCGGGCCGGGGGGAGAGGGGACACCGGGCCGGGCCGGGGAGAGAGGGGACACCGGGGACACCGGGCCGGGCCTGGGGAGAGGGGACACCGGGGACACCGGGCCGGGCCGGGGAGAGAGGGGACACCGGGGACACCGGGCCTGGGGAGAGGGGACACCGGGGACACCGGCCGGGCCGGGGAGAGGGGACACCGGGGACACCGGGCGGGCCGTGGCCGTTTGGCGGCAGCAGGGCAGGAGCGCGCTGGGCTCTGCGGTCCCCGAGCCCCCTGTGCGGGGCCGAGGGGCCGCGCTGGCGGCACGGAGCTCCGGCAGCGCGGGGCTCGGCGCTTCGTGCCCAGTGCGGGGAGGGCAACGGGCATCCCTCCTCCCACACAAAGCCTTCTCTGTACCATGCCGTAAGGGATTGGTTTGTTTTTCTCTTAGTTTTTTTGCTTTTGATGGTTTGGTTTGAGGGGGTGTTTAACATGCTGTACATTATTATTATTTGAAGGATGTGAAACCTTCTCTTTTTTTTCTAAGTATATTTTGCACGTTTAGCATTGGATAAATTTGGAGCTCTAAGTCTCGCTGCTGCAGCAGTTAGCAAGTAAAAAGCACTTTGTGTTTTCTTTAAAGGAAAGCTGAACATTGGCGTTGACATCATTCAGCACGGCGTAGAAGGACTAGTGTACCTTCTTACTGAGAGTTCCAAGCTTATGGCAAGTCTACCTTTTCATAAGGAATTTGGGGATACACTCAAGATACGTCTTTGGGACACGTAGACCTCAAAAAATACTGGTGAATGGGGAAAATACAGCTCAAAATTTTAATGACATGTGTTGTTTTCGTTTTAGAAAAAGGTGTCTCATGTTGTTGAAACCTTGCGTCTGCATGTATGATTCTGGAATTTGTATTCAGTGTCTGAAGCTAAAACTTGATGACGTTTAAATATTGTCATTTATTACATATAGAGAAGCTTACTTCAGGATTAAGCTCTAAATAATAAAATTCAAGTGAAGAGTTTGTTTGTTCAGCTACTGCACAGGATGTGGACTAGACTAGACCCCTGTTCAGCATTCCTTTGTCCAGTGTGGTGGGTTTGAGAGGTTTTTCAGCTCTGGGCATCAAAAGTTTGAGTGGGTATAAGCAGATACTAAAAGATTAGTAGTTGGACAATTACTGTTTCCATCGGAAAGACTGGTAGCTGCTGATATGATAGAATATTTGAGCAATGACTGCATGGAGAAGGGGTACAGAGAAAAGGAATGCCAGATTAAACTCAGCCAAATGTTGCTCCCAAGAGTAGGTGGGGAGAGGATGGAAATGGTGCAGAGCCTTTCCTTGAAACAAAGGATCTTGGCTGACAGGTTACAGTGTTCTGTGGTAGAAGGTGGTTGGTTACAGACTGTGTTTGTGGGGTGGTGCATGGGAGAGGTACAGTGGCATTTTCTGTGGAGTCACTAGCAGCTTTCCCCAGGCTGCTGCAGTAAGCACAAAGGCCCGTGAAGCTTCTCTTGTCCTTGGGACAGGAGTCTGAGCATTGTACCTTGTGCTGCTCGTGTGCAGGTCACTGCTAGGTGTTTGTAGTCTGGTTATCAGTGGCACAGTTGCATCCTGACAAATGGATTCACACAGCATGTCGTGCCTTGTGACACTACAGACACGCTGCCTCATGCTGTGTTTTGGTCTTTGATGTGAAGGCTTACATGTGAGGGGGTCAAATGTTCTTTAAAAAAACTGTTCCTGAATCTCATACAAATCTGCAACAATACATCAACATCTGTAGATCCTTTAAAACCTGAATATTTGTTTTGTCCGAGGTGTAGAATTGTACTTGGACATTCCTGCAGGAAAACAACTGCTCCATAACATGTGTGAAGTTTAATTACAGCTTTACTTGGTTTTCAAGAAATTATGATGATTGCCTGGCCTAAATTGTTGTTTCTAGATTTCTGAGGTTGACTTCCAAGATTCCATTCATGTTTTGGGATTCTCAGATGAATTGAACAAATCCTTGCTCCAGCTGTACCTTGACAACAGGAAAGAGATCAGGAGCATTCTTGGAGAGCTGGCACCAAGGCTTCCCAGCTACCACAGTCTGGAGTGGAGACTGGATGTGCAGGTGACTTCCTGATGTTTTTAGTATTCCATCCTTTCTTTCACATCTTTTTACATTAACAAAAACCTTTTAAACAATGTAAAAATAATTGAAGCAGCAGTACTTCATGTATTTAAAACTGACACGACTTTGTTAGTGTCCTACAGACAGCCAGTTGTGAGATGAACAGGATATGCAATGATGCAAAGTACTTGTTGCCTGATGAAAATTGAATTCATGGCTCTATTGCTGTTTTAAAAATATTGGAATATTTTGTCTTGATTATCACCTTATTTTCAGCAATATTATGGAAGCATTGATTAAAGTGGGTTAGTATTCTTTAATTATAAAACACAATAGTAGATTGTGTGTATCTTTAATGTGGATGATGGGGTTCTGAACAGTTGTCCAGGCAGGTTCTGCAAACCTGATGGGAACTGTTAAGAGCAAACATTGATAACCATGGATTGTTTTCCTATTCCTGTCCCACTGAACCCCTCCTGCAGCTTGCAAGCAGAAGTTTGAGGCAACAGATCAAGCCTGCTGTGACTATGAAGCTACATCTTAACCAAAATGAAGATCAAACTGCCCAGGTGTTGCAAACTGACCCTGCTACCCTTCTCCACCTTATCCAGCAGCTGGAGCAGGCGCTGGGGGAGATGAAGATGAACCACTGCAGAAGAATAGTGCGCAACATGAAATAACCTTGATGAGCAGCTTGTAAAACCACGCAGAACACTGCTCACAAATAACATTTTGAGGCAAAATAAACATCTGGATCAGATGAACTGCTTTCCTGTGCCAGGATCTTGAGCCAGTATTTACTGGCTAAATGTCCTTGGCTGCCAGCTTTGCACATCTTTATGTGGTGACCTTTTTCACATAATCATCTTCATATATAGTACATGGTGATTAAATGTGATCAGATATTACTACTTGGGATTTTTGATTAGTATTTTTAATGTAACTGGTCTCTGTTTTCAGGTGAAACACAAGGTTAGCCAATACATAGGTCAGTAGTTTCCCTCATTCCATCTCTCCTCACTGCAGTCACAGTCTGGAACTCAGGGCAGCAAAACAGGAGTTTTAGATACAAATCCTAGAAAATTTTTGTGTTGTCTCGCTACTGCCTGATGAATCTGAACATATTTGCCTTTTTCTCTCTTAAACTTGTTAGAAAATCCAGCTGCTGTAGATCTGATTGGCATCATGGTAAGTGCTGGCAGTCTTCCTATGGGTCATATCCTGAAGCACGTGCTAACTGAGATGGGGGAGGCGTTTCCTGGGGGATTCAGTTGAAAGCACATGTTGAGAATGCAGAATGTCACTGGAGAGCCTGCATGCTCCTTTGTGCAGCGTGTCGCAATATTGTAGAAGGAAAAGCTGCAACACTGAATGGTTTTGTTTCCTTTTACAAAAAATTACCTCAAGTAAGGATGGTCAAAGGTAAACTTAGAAGCTGGGTGAAACTGAGAGAAACTCAAACTATGGCAGTGATCCACAAATAGACTCAAGGAGAGAGGGAAGGAAAAAGATCCTTTACACCAAGCATTTTACTTTTCAATTGTACCTTTCAGTTTGTTCTGGGAGAAGTACTGAGCCTGGAAAAGCAGCTGCCGAGCAGCAGGATTTGGGCTTAATTATTGGAAAGGCAGATTCGCCTTTAGGTGAGGTTGGAACTGGTCTACACCTCTGCAAGTTCTCACTTCTCTGTCTTCACAGCATCCAGGGCAGCTACTGAGGCCTTAGCACTTAGACCCTGCTGGGGCTGAAAAGGCACATGTGGCAGTAACCCAGAGATACTGGTGAAATAGGAACTCACCCTTGGATATGGACTTTGATTTTGTTGTGAACTCCCAAATTAAAGGTGGCATATAAAGCTACATTTAATGCATCTTTAATTAATTTGCACTTGTTTATAGAAACCCTTGAACATGACAAGGAGACTACAAAGCATTTTTCACAAGCTACTAAAAAAAGTTACATTGCTACTTTTAACCCATTTTATTTTTAACAGGGTCTTTAAAATCTACTACTGTTCCATCCCCATTTAGTTCAGAGGAACACAAGTTTTTTGTTCTGTATGGCTGTTCACAGATGGACATGGAGCAGCCAGCTGTAGTTACTGCCTGCTTGGAGTCTCCTTGCACAGAGCAAACCCAAAGCAGAGGCAGAATCGTGCCAGGCTGCACTCTGTGCTGCTCACCTGGTTACTCAGAAACAACAAGGCTTGCCCAGGGACCCTGAATGTTTTATTTTATAACAGACATCACACATGCTGCTTCGCCTATGTAGGTTGTCTCAGAAAAATATTAATCTATGAAGAGCTTTGATGTGGAGCAGTGATGAATCTAGACTAAAAATTACATGTGGCATTATTTCTTTAACTCATTAGATGCTCATCATATAAGGGTACTTTTAAAACTGCACTTCTGAGCTGTTTGCTTGGGTTTTCATTGAAGTAGAGATTCATTACCTGTGCAAGAACCACATGCACACACACCCAGAAACTCATATGCAGAGGATTTAAATAGGGATATTTCAGGGGGAAAAAAAAATATATGTAATATCTGCATAGTCCTGGAGCAGGTGCTGTGTTAACATTGCTCTTTGAGCTTTTTGCAGCAAGGAACCCAGTATGAAGCAGCAGAAGAATGGTACGAAAATTCTTTGGGAAGGGAATCATAAACAAGTCTCAGGAGTACTGGGTTTCCTGACCAGAAATACAGCAGATGTTGGGAAAAATAGCAAAAAATAAAAACCCTCAAAAATAACAACAAAACCCACAGACCCTCACAAAAACAACAACAAAACAAACCCCAAGGAGATCTGCCAAGCCAATGGAAATATGAACAGGAAATGTGATGAAATGTAACTGACAAGGAATATTTGTTGAAGCAAAGCCATCAGGAAATGCACAGGATGTGTTTCACAGAGCTAGCTGTAGTTCACGCAGGCTTAAACTGCAACTCTGAGAATCTGCACAACCAACATTGTATGTATGTATGTAACACTGATTTGAGAGACAAAGATGGTTCAGTCAGGCCTACATTCTCCACCAGAGAAGCGAAATGCAGTTTAGAGAAGTTCATGCTTCCTTTAAAGAAATAAGGAATAAAGCTCAGAAAAAAATTACTTAGGACTTTTCTAGTGTAGCTTCTGTATTCTTATCAATCATCATAGCCCAGAGTTTGTCCAAGACACAGAAATAAAATAACAAAATGCATTACTAAATTAAAATCATGTTTGTTTTACCAATGTGTGATACCTCTGTGTGCATAGTCATAAAAACACTGGATGCTTGCCTCTGTAAAAGCAAACACTTAAGCTGGAAAGTGAACAATATTCTTTATAGACACAGCTACTGAATTTAAACAATTTTTGGTCACATCACCATTCAGAAGTTATTCCAAGTGCCCAAAAAATGAGACAAGATTAAATCAACAATTGTATATATTAATTATAAGAAACCTCAGGTATGCATTTTGATGACAGCTCTGGTTTCTAGTATAGGCTAAACCAAAGACAAGGATTAAATGGGTAGTCAGCAGAGATCCACAAAGCACCACGCCTGCATTTGAAACCATCGCTATGGACAGTGAGCTGAAAGGACTTGTGATACAGCTCTGCACAGGACTCGTGGTTGCCAGCAAAGGGCCAAACCTCGTCCAAACCACAGCGAATTGGTTGCTGTCCATGTCACTACGAATGCTTCACTCCTCCCCACCGCCATAGCATCGCTCAGTCATGCCATTAAACTTGTACATGAACTAATTTAAGCATCATTTCGCTTCCAGAAATTAGTAGCACCCGTTAACTTTCTGAACAACGGTTTTGGAGCAAAGCTCATTGTCTCGGCAGAGACAAAGCGCTCCGAAGGTTCCCCGGGCACCCCGAGCCGGGGTCCGGGCGGGGCGGGACCGGCGGATGTTCCCGGCCGGGAGCGGCACAGCGAGGGCGACGCGAGAGGGGGCGAGGGCGGGGCGGGCTCCGGTGGCCGCTCGGGCCCGGCCTCGGGGCCGTCCCGTGCCCAAAGTTTCCGCGGAGTTGCATAACTGCGGGCGGGGCGCCGCGGGGGCCGGGCTGGAGCCGCCGGCACTGCCCCCGTCCCGGCACTGCCCCCGTCCCGGCACTGCCCCCGTCCCGGCACTGCCCCCGTCCCGCCGCTGCCCGGGGGCCGCCCCGCCCGCCCGGGACACCGGCGCGGCTGCCGGGGGCGCAGAGGCAGCGCCTGCCCCGCTCTGCTCCGGAGGGCCCGGCAGCGGGACCGGCCCCAGCCCCCGCCCGCCCCGGGACGGCTGCGCCCGCCGTCGGGCCGGAGGAGCGGACAATGAACCCCGCGGCCGCGGCCCCGCCGCCGGGGCAGCAGGTGATCCACGTCACGCAGGACCTGGACACGGAGCTGGAGGCGCTCTTCAACGCGGTGATGAACCCCAGGCCCAGCTCCTGGCGGAAGAAGATCCTGCCCGAGTCCTTCTTCAGGGAGCCCGACTCGGGCTCGCACTCGCGGCAGTCGAGCACGGACTCGGGCGGGCCCCCGGCTCGCCTGCCCCCCGTGCACGTCCGCTCGCACTCCTCGCCCGCCTCGCTGCCCGGCGCGGGCGCGGCGCCGCAGCACGGGCACCTCCGGCAGCGCTCCTGCGATGTCACGGACGAGCGGCCGCTGCCGCCGGGGTGGGAGATGGCGCTCACGCAGACCGGGCAGCGCTACTTCCTCAAGTGAGTGCGGCGGGGGAACCGGGGGGGAACCCGGGGGGGAACCCGGGGGGGAACCGGGGGGGAACCGGGGGGGAACCGGCCGGGCCCCGCACGGGTTCGCGGGGCGCTCGCCGGGCGCTCGCTGCCCCGTCAGGCGGCGGAGTGGCCTCCGGGTCCGAGGTGTACGCGACATTCCTTGGGGGGGGGGGGGAAATCCCTTCCCGGTGGGAAGAGAGAGGCGAGGGAGAGCTCGGGGCGCTCCCGGAGCCGGGCAGAAGTCCTGCGGTTCTTGCTGATAGCGCATTTCTTTCTTGCTTGGCCACATGTCCGAGATTCTGAAACTTAATTTTTTGGACAATAAGTTCAATAACAGTTATTCCAGGGCGTTTCTGGAACGTGGGAGCAGAGCTCTGCGTGTCCGTGGCCGGTGGGAGGTGGAAGGGGCAGTGGCTGGGTGGGAGCTCCCGGAGGTCCGGCCGTGTGTCCCCAAAGCATCCCCGGCTGCGGACGCCGGGGCCTGGGACACGTTTTGAGAAGTGTGGTAACACAACTGCCGGTGTCTCTTCTGGCCAGTCATTTTAGCTAGGATGTTTTATTTATGACAATTGGCATTTGATTCAAAGCCATTTAGCAGGCCTAAAAATTCCTAATAGCTCTAATAAGAGGTAAGACAACAGTGCCTTGTTTTGGTGGGTTCTGTAAGTCAGCTACAGATTCACTGCAGCTGCACTGCATTAACTTGGTGAACATGATAAAATGCTTGCTAACGAAATAAAGCATTTACTGAATGAAGCATCTACCTGAGGTTATTGAGGGAGTTAAACTGCCAGGGCTCCAGGACATCATTTATTTGCCTTCTTCATCAGAAGAGTAAAATCTTGAGTTCACATTAAGCCATGTGTGGGTATTCAGCCATCATAAATGTCATATAGATAACGTGTCAGGGGACAAAGAGAAAAAGCTATTTAGAAAAGTGAAAAAAGTAATAATTGACTTGACTGTATAATAATTTCTTTGCCTCGTGTGTTTGGAATCTCGAATGGATTACTCAAGAGCCCAGTCTCTGAATGACTCTGCAGAGTTTAGGGATTTTTGCCTTTTGTCACACTCTGAGCTGGCAGTAAAGCATGTCAATACCCTTGTGTATGGCATTGTATATTGTTTATGATACCGTGTACTTATGTCCCAGGGCCCAAACTTAGAAGTTAATCTTATTAATCTGGTTTATCACCTAGATGAGAAGATTTCATGTCTCTACACTTCGCATGTATTTTTCTCAATAGAACAAGCTACAGAGAAGTAGCTGACTGACAGGAGCTCTGTAACAGACCATTTATAAATAATTTTTCAGTATAAATTCTTGCTAGGGTTTGGCCAGGGAGTGTTTTCAGAAACCTCTGGCTAAAAATTGCATAATATAATCTTTGTCTGCCCTGTGTTTTTTGACTAATATCAAAATGAGCTCCTGTGGTTTCACCTTCCTGTCATGCATTTCTGACCTAGAGACAGACTTTTCCAAGTCGATGGATTCTTGTTGCATAGGCCAAAAATACAAGGCCTTTAGTAAATAAAAAGCATAAGTAAAAACTCAAAGTGGTTTTAATTTTTTTTCCAAATCCTGTCAACAGTAATACTCTGATTAAGCATCCTTTTTAATAGAAAATACAATATTCATTGTGCATGTAATTTGTTACCTAAGTTGATATTTGTTTTGTTTCCCCAGTTTTATCTGTCCAAAAGAACTTCTCTCATCTATATAAAAATTAATTGAATAATGCATTTCTTTATGCCTTTAATGTATTTTGTTATACCCCAATGCTTTGGGGAGTAATATTTAGCTATAAAAGTCTCACATATTAATTACAGTATTTTACAAATGATATAATATTCTTCAGGTGAAAATAAAATTTAAGATTGTTTATGAAAGCAGCGTTTAAAGCTGCGTGCAATAAAATAATAGAGGAATTGAGTCAGGTGATGTGCTAAGAATCGTATTTGATCAACCTAGGTATACAAGGTTATATTTCCCTCTGTTCAAGGAAAAAAAAATTTTAAAAGCCGATGCTTTCCAGCATAACAATAATGATTTCTTTCTTGGCACTATTAAGGAAAAAAAAATTTTAAAAGCCGATGCTTTCCAGCATAACAATAATGATTTCTTTCTTGGCACTATTAAAAAAAAATTGAGAAACCAATTAAAAGTAAATAGCCAAATTAGGTCCTATTAACCTTTATTATTTATTACCTATTAGCCTTTATTATCTGTTGAAGTTCAGAATGCAATTTGTTGTACTAAAACATGTTTTCAGTAATGATTTAACAGAAATACTAGTGTGAATTTCAATGAACAGTGGGCTAACCTTGTTGACAGGGAACCAGCTACAACTTGAAGCAGTTGCACTCCTGCATGTCAGTTCCTGCAGAAATTTTCTGGCTGTGACTGGAAGAAACATAAGTAGCCTGGGGACCACTCCACCCTGTAATTAAATACCAAACTGCACAAGTGGGGGCTGGAAAACAGGCTAATGAACACACACTTGCAGCAATGTTATCTAAAGCATTTTTCTGTGTGAGCATGTGTGGAAAAAAATGTAAGTGTGATTTATTTTTGATAAAAAGCATTTCTGCAGAGACAGGCCAACTGCCTGTTCTTAGGCCTGTGAGTGGGGAATGCCAG